TTATTTATTTATTTTTATTAAATATTTTTATTATTTAACTTTACTGCTGGGGGCTTCTGGGAAATATCAGGGGTCTAAACAGGAGATCTGTCACAGGAGTCTGAGCGGGGTGGTGCGGGAGCAGAGCTCTGCCTCCTGTGACACGCTGATGACTGCACTCTCCTACCCACCCCGCTCAGCCTCTTGACAGTTTCTCTCCTCTCAGAGCGGTCACAAAGCAGCACCCAGTGGGGAGAAGTGAAACTAGGGATGCAACGCAATTTCGGCTGAAAGATGGCACTTTCGGCATTTTGCCCAAATTGTCGGCCGATATGTTGTCGGCGGCTGAAATTTCGGTGTATCCCTAGTCCTTAGTGTCTCTAAGAAGATACTGTAAATGCAGGGTGTCATGGATACTCCCAATAAGATGATGCCACCACAATGCTCCGCACTCACAGTATAATGATACAGTGATAATGTAAGTGCCACTCTTTGTGTTGAGGATCACCGACTGCTAGAGACGATTCAAAGAGAACCAAGCACATCACGTGACCAGGCTTCTGGAAGAAGTATATTAAAAAATTAGTCAACAAAAACCACTACAGATAGCATTTAGTTAACTGACATGATGTCCAGCGGAAGAAACAGTTGCATCTTTTACTGCCTGTATAGAGATATTTGTATTTTAGCTGAATTTGAGTTTTATTTTCTTTGGACACCACAATGCATGTTGATGCACAAAATTCACACATCATGCCTCTTCTATAACACAATGCTGCAGCGCAAAGAATAAAAAACAGAACTGATTGATTGGTATGACTATTCTATGTGTGTTCCTTTCCCTGTGGTCTCTGACGGCGTATATGCCGCTGGGAACTGCTTACACGTCAATGCAGCCTGAGAGATAAAAGGACTGCATATATATTTTCTTTTAGCATTACAACTAATGCATATCTTCACAATATGAGTGGCTTCATAGGAGATTCACAGCTGGAGTAAGAAAACCTGAAGCCAAGTTAGCTGGTTTCATACATATTGTAGGACAGAAAAGTGGAGGTTTTTCCTATAGCTGATCATGTGTTTCTTTGTATCGTGTAAAGCAGTGGTTCTCAACCTGTATAACCTCAGGGCACACATTTGGCCTTGGTCATTAGGATCCGACCCAAGCCGCACCACACTGGAACGCACGGCATTGCAGTACCGCATGTTGCGGTGCAAGCGATCAAACCGTGGGCGGGAGGTGTGTTTGGGGTGCCATTTAAATGAATTGAAACGCGCCTCCCGAGCTTCCCGCACCAGGAGGAACAGTAGGTGCAATTGCGTGGTAGTTTCTAATAAAACACTGACAGACACACACAACCACAAATACATTCTCACACATACATACACACTCCCCAAAACATTTTTTAGGGGTTCAGTGTGGGCTGCTGTGCTATGAGGAAGCTCCATCCATACGTGCATTGCTTGTACAGCTTCCTTGCACTCCCTGTAGAGGTGCCGGGAGCCAGAATATGATGTCACTCTGGTCACATGAGGGAGCTGTAAGCAATGCACGTATGGATAGAGCTCCCTTGCGGCCATACCTCCAGCCCACCCTACCTCAAAATGACACTCGGCGTCAGGCAGCATATTTTGAATGTCTGCTCGGCACAGGAACTGACAGTGCTGTGCTATGGGGGAGGCTGAGAAGCCTTTAACCTAGTGCAGTGGAAGGCATGCGGCGACCCACTGATCATGGGGAGTCCATGGTCCCATCGCACTCCTGACCGCTGAGATCCCTCAGAAAAACGGGTGCAGCGGTAGTCAACGGGTGGCAGCCGTAACAATCAGATATAGGAACAGAGACACCGACACTCCAAATTGGCAAAAGAACGTCTGTTTATTTGAAGTGCAGCATAACAACAATAACGACCGTTTCGGGGCCACAGAGGATCCCATTCATCAGGCAAAGCATAGCTTGTTGTTATGCTGCACGTCAAATAAACAGATGTTCTTTTGCCAATTTGGAGTGCCGGTGTCTCTGTTCCTACCACTGATCATGGGGACGCGACCCACTTTTGGGTCACGGCCCACCAGTTGAGAACCACGGGTATAAAGTATATAAAGGTTACAGTGGCTGACAGCACTCAGTGTAAAATGAGAAAAGTACCAGGTTTCGCAACAGGTGAAAACCCTAAGGGTTCGTTCACATGAGCTAACGCGCTAAAACAAAATGTTAGCCTTTGGGCCAATGTGTGAGTGAGGTCCAGTGGGAGGGCGGTGTGAGGCGTGGTTTCAGTGCATCATGACGTGTACTTTTTGTAAACTTTATTGAGTGTACAAAATGTACACCCCATTCAGGTCTCCACACAGCAGGTGTGACACCCTGCTTTGCAGTGACATCCGATGCCATCCAGTGTGCTGCATACCTGCATTTTTCTGCATCGCACATCAGTGTTGTGGTGTGAATGGGGCACGTGTGCCATAACAGTTACCTGCTATATGCAAGTCATCACATATAGTGATCTATTAATAAACAATTTGCAGAGCCAAAACTCACAAAGCAGCTACTGCTCATATTCCTCGTCCTGCCGTCACAAAGCCCCATCCCTCTTATCGGAGCAGACAAAAAAAGCACGCTGCAGCTTGATACTGGTTCTCACAGAAACAATTGCCACACAAATGACTGGTATCACAAGCTGGCTACTGTTTATTCCCAAAGTCAAAACATGCTGTAACCAAACACAGGCTCCTCCAACTCTAATTCACAGAGCCATTTGTCAATCTCTATGAATGCTCATTCTGTGCCAATAGAGGCAAAATCTAACGTTCTTACCATATTTTCTTTTCAAGTCACATGTAATGTAATACTGTATAATGGCTACCAGATGGAGCCGAGGAGCATAGGAAATAAGTATTCTGTATCTTCCGTTTATTAAGGGACACAGCTGAAATTCAGATCTCATTTGTGTCTTTTAATGAACGCAGAGAAAAGCATTTGACATTACAAAAAATACAAAATACAAAAAATCCTATTTTTCTGTGCTCCTCAGTTACATCTAGTAGCCTGAATCAATAAAACAGTCAGAGCCAGGAGAATATAGCACTTAACACAGACATTTGTTGAAGATATCTTATATTCGCTGACTCTAAATGATTGATCCAGGCTCCTAGTTTATAGTCCAAAAGATTTTGTAACAGTTGTCAAAGTCCTGATGAAGGGGGGTTGCTTGACCCTGAAACGCATTGGCTGCCTTTCAGTACCCTTTTGGCTCCTGAGCAATAATAAAATACATTTCTAGACTCTTGATATGTGTGTTTTGGTGCTCATTCTGGTTCGATTACATATTGAAAATGGAGACTGATATGTTAGCTCAACAGCTGATAGGAAGGCAAGCAGAGTGATTGTCAAGAAAGCTTTAGCTCCCTCTTGTAGCCAGTCTTGAAATTTCCTTATTTAATACAATAACAGAATGGAAGAGAAGGAATATAATAATGTGAAAGGCACATCACAAATTGACTGAAAATGCGTCTTCAGTTAAAACTTTTTTTTTAACTTTCAATAGAGTGGGGAACAATCACAACCTCTACCTTTGTTCTACTGCTGCATGGGTCTCCGATAGCAGGTTTTCCCTCATTTCCTGCCCCACTGGCACAGGAAGTAGTGGGTGATTTCTTCAGTGGGGCCTCATACAGTCAATCAATTTTGACAGTGGATCTAACTCTTCCTCTCCTATCCGAAACTAATGACATTTTGGCTGGAGGTACACATTAAGGAATACAATTCTATAAGAGCACTGAAAATATACTATGCTTTTCAAAATAACAGCTGGCTGGTTGCTGTAAGGAGCATTATTTTTCCTTTTTTCCAGTTTAATAATTTAGTTTTCTATATATTATGTGTAATAATGCCATTTCGGTATATGTTATGAGTGCCTGATCAATACTTTTCTTGCGGTGCATTTCAGCGGCCAGTTCCGGCTCTTCAGAGGGAAGTGTGAGTGGATTCAGCTCGCCAGATTCCAGCCACCCGCCACTTGGTCATAATAACATGTGTTATCCCTTGGACTGCTGGCGTACTCATCATGCTATGGACAAGCCACCAGCAAACAACATCCCATGAGCCCAGTGAGCTTGGGAGCACTGGCAACTCTTCCCAATTATCCAAATGTCTCCTTATCCCATTGGTTCTATTTATGTGACTTTCCTATATATGTAAATAAATATGTGACATTCTAGTGGACAATGCAACGCTATAACAATGTAATCTTGAATTTCCGTGTGGCTGAGTGATATTTAAAAGAGCTCTTTAGAAAGTCTTTTCTTGTCTTTAGCCAGTTACATGTATTTATTTTGGAACATTTCATCTGGTCTCTTTGAATCTGAAATATCTGATGAAATAAAGAGTAATTTGCACTGGGTTGCAAATCTCAAAGGCTTTGCATTTTTATTGCATTTGGATATATACGCTGTGAATGTTACACATACATTTTTTATATTGTTATATAGTATATACAAATGCTTGTGGGGCACCCGACACCTACATTAACTTGCCATGCCATTGTAAACCATGGGCATTAATATGGCCCAGCTTGTACTCTTCCGGGAAGGCTTTTCAGAAGATTTCGTAGTGTTTGTGGGAATTTGAGCCCATTTAGCCAGAAGAGCATTTTTGTGAGGTCAGGTATTGGTGTTGGATGAGAAAATCTGGTTCACAATCGTTATTTTAATTCATCCCAAAAGTGTACAGCAGGGTTGAGGTCAGGGCTCTGTGCAGACCACTCAAGTTCCTTTATGCCAAACTCATCAAACCATGGCTTTATGGAGTTGGCTTTGTGCATAGGGGCACAATCGTGCTGGAACAGAGAAGGGTCTTCCGCAAAATGTAGCCAAAAGGTTAGAAGTCCACAATTGTTTAAAATGTCTTTGTAGGCTGTAGTTTCAACAGCACAATTAAACACCTGAATGCTATCATTTGGAGGGGTGTCCACATGCTTCCAGCCATAGAGATATGTGTAATGGTCACTCAGGCATCAACAAATTGTTGGCCATATAGTACATATGGTATATGAGCATGTGCATATACATGAAGTAGATACAGATAAGGAGAGCATGGTAGGGTAATTTAACTAACATTTGTGCTCCTTTCTGCCTTTCTAAACACGTGCAGTTCCAGTTCCTCTCCACTTCCCTCTGACATAGTACATGGAGGACCTGTAGATAGATATGGGAAACTTTAATCACCCAGGCAGCGGAAGCTAGAGAAGGACTGAAGCTGGAGGCACACTGTTAAACAAAATTTTCTTTATTCTGTTTTTGCGGTCATCCCTCGTCGGGTATAACCACAACTTACCAAGAAATTCAATACAAATAATACGAGGTTTTCTAACAACTACCTCGACAATTGCACCAGAAATAACATCATTCCAACTTTCTCAACATTCCCGTGCTGGTTGCCCCCATAGTTAAAGGCTGTATTCTACTCGTATATACTATAAACAATAAACGATACTTCATCCTACCTAGAACCCCAATTTAGACTTCATAGCACCTCCAGTGGCCCCAAAGTTCCTGACAATTTGTTTTTCAGGTACCAGTCTGAATATTGAAAGGGTTGCATTATGTCAGTCAATTCCTGCTGATCAAAGGTGACTGCAAGAAACTGTTTCCATCTCCGGAAGAATTTTTTAGATAGAGTATCGACATTATTTTCAGCATCCAACTTTTCCCTGAGGAACAACATTTTTAATTCCGTTACCACACTTGAGATAGGCGGGACAGCTGTAGTATTCCAGGATCGCATGATGCATCGTCTGGCTGCCAGCAGGCATATGTGAAGCCAGTCCCCTCCCCTGCGAGCCGGTCCATGGGGGTCTGCCTCAGAGTCCGCAGGAATGCTGAATAGGAACAACAATGGGTCCAGCGTTGGAGTCCGCTGGAGGACCGATGCAATGTAAACAATCACCCTTGTCCAGTATTGTGCCATAGAGGGACAGGACCATAGACAATGTGTTAATGTTGGGCGTGGTATTCCACATTTAGGGCACAGTGATACCAACTGGTGCGTTGTTGGCCCAGGCGGCCGAAAGTACGCCACATAGGCCCGGTGCATTATTTTAAACTGGGTCTCCCTCCAATTTTCATTAACCACCAGTCTGCGAATCCTATTACAAAAATAAACAGTCAGCGCATTGGCACCGTATGGTATCAATCTCCTTAGGGGGTTTGAAAACATGGGGTGGCAAGGGTGGGGTGGGGAGGGATCCTTAGTGCCAAGGGGGAAGGTAGGAGCTATGGGGAGGGTAATGTACAGTAAGGGTGGTGAGTGGGTGTTGCCACAAGGGTACCTATACAAAAGGTCCAGATCAAAACCTGGGGGGAGGAAGTGTACCATCCAGGGGTACCACAGTGTAAGTTATTTCCCATTATGCCTGCCAATCTGTCCTCAACTTTTTTATGGTGCATAGCCTGTGTGACCCACAATTTGGATTCAGCAATGAAGGGTAGGCAATGTCTCATTTCTCTTTAAAGCACCGAGGAGTTCTCATACCTTCCAGGTATCTCTGAGGGTTAGATATGATAAAGTGATGAACATATCACTAGGGCTGCAACAACTAATCGACATAATCGATTATTGAAAAAGTTGTCAACTTTTTCAATCATCGATTAATCGGCTTCCGATTGGTTCGCCCTGTTCACGGCTACACACGTGCTGCACGCCACACCGCCTCACGCTCACCGCTGCCAGACCCGCCCGCATCCACGCTCCACACGCCGCACCTCCTCCCTGCCTCACGCTCACCGCCCAAATCCACGATGGGCGCGGGGAGAAGAAGTAAGGAGGAGCAGGGGTGGGGGGATGACAGCTGCCGATAGACAGGCCCAATCTCAGAAACAAGTTGCTGGAAAACTGCTCAGGTAAGCCTGCACTTTCCCACACATGGTGCTCTATAACGTATTGCTGGGATTTGTATTCCTCTATAGCTGATGGTACATTGCGCTGTATATTATACAACACAATGTACCATCAGCTATAGAGGAATACAAATCCCAGCCATACATTGTACACTGTATGTGTAATGTATTGCTGGGATTTGTTGTATTCCTATATAGCTGGTGGTATTCTGCATTGCGCTGTATAGAGGACTACAAATCCCAAGCACGTTCTTTATCTCAGGTGCCCCACTCAAGCGGCGGCCATATTGAGTGGGGCACCTGAGATAAATAACGTGCTTCCTTACTGTCATCCTACATCATTTTATTACTATATTACTGTGGTCTATGTGTATAGGGCAATGCCGTGGATGCCGCTCGTGCACAACATGTTTTGTGTGCAAACATCGTAGTTCTGAGGAAACCGGAAGTCATGCGGTCCCACAACTCGATAAGTTCGCACTTTCGATACATCACCGGCCGCAATCCAAAGCAGTGCGTTCTGGCCAGAATCGGGCCGGAATGCACTGCATCTGGTGTGAACGAGGCCTTAGTGAGCATTGTCACCCTAGGACAGGAAGCGTGTTATTGAAAACAAATTCAGCCACATCTAAGGACAGAAAAACTGCATTCTATTACCTTTTTGTTCTTGGGTTTAGACACACTTTAACACTAAAAGAAAAATGTAATGTTCCGTGCTTTGTCCTTTGGTCAACTTGAAGAGGTCATGGCCATGCTGATTCAGTTAGGAAGGATGTTGCAAAATTTCTAGAAGTTTTGTTGTATTTCAGACTGATGAAGTCATCAGAAACCTTACAAATTATTTGTAAATACTGTCTAATGGGCAAATTCCATTCTATAGTACTGTTTATATTGTACATGTTTATATTGTCTTATATATTTATATTATAGTCTGTGTTTTTATGATGAATATTTCACCTGTATATAGATATATCTATCTATCTATATATATATATAGGACCTCTCATTACAATGTATACTTCCCATGAACACTTTCCAGCATTACCAAATCCAATGTTTATTATTAGCAATTAAGTTTTCATTGCTAGAGCTGGGTTGTTGTTTTTTTCCCCATCTTTTGCACAAATGCTAAAATGAACATTGCAGCCCTGGTGAGCAACACAGAATATGTAGCTTCCTATTATTCTGCATTGCCATATAATGGATTGCTGGGATTTGAAGTCCTCTATAGCTGATGGTATTCTGCATTGCTATATTTAATGTAGTACTGGGATTTGAAGTTCCTCACAGCTTGGAGTCAGTGGCAGAACTACCAGGGTCGCAGCAGTTGCAGCTGTGATTGGGTCCTGGCGCTCCACCACTGTCCTAAAACCATTAGTCTGTATTGTTGTAGAAAAACTCTCACATGACACTAAAAAAAGGTATCAGCAATTAGTATCGGCGAGTACTTGAGGAAAAGTGTCCGTACTCATACCTGGTCTTAAAAAAAATGGTATCAGTGCATCCTTAGATAGAATCTAGCTCAGGTTTTTATTTGCATTCTGTGTCCCTGCTGGGGAGGTTTACACTCACTTCCTGTTGGGACAGAACTTCAACCAACATCAACTAGGCAACCTACCACCAACAGTTCCAGTTTTCCTGTAAAGTTCTCATTTATCCAGGTCATAGTATAGCTAGTAGTAGTTAGTCACGTTCATCTGGACATGTTTTGCAATGTTGAAGAAGTGTCACAGCTTATCCAAACCACTTCTTCAATTCTGTTGAGTGTCAGGAACACACCTCAGCGTTTATATCTGTGTGTCAATCTGGAAGGGGAAGTTAAAGGACAGTGGAACCTCTGGTACAAGTTGTCCTATAATGAATGCAGTCCCCCTGCTGAGGGTAGCCCACCTTGTCCAATATTCACCTTCATCCTCGATACAGCAGTCTTCAAATGGGGGCCTGTTGGGCATCATACAGTCTTGCTTCCGTAGGAATCCTCAATGAGTGGCCCTGTTGGGCATAGGACAGTCCTGCTTCCGCAGGCATCCTTGCCGGGTACTCTTCAGCATGTGTAGGAGTGCTGCAGTCACATTAATTCCTATTGGGTATTGTACTCATGCCAGCCTCTCGTGGTCCTACGCCATGGTTCTTCCCATAGGAATGAGTGGAGCCACAGCTCACAAGCACAGGCTGAAAAGGACCTGCTGAGGACAATATCAGAAGCAAAACCGCGTGGAGGGGGGCTGCATTCATTAAAAGGCAACCTGTACCGAAGGTACAGTTGACCTTTAAGATAGTTTTTGGTGTTTTGTAAGGGTGCAGTGGGTTCCTAAGAGTTACAAAAGCTCCTCTCAACTATCCTGGTCTGGTAATTGTGCAAAAAAATGGTCCCTCGTTAAACAGAGAGCAAAAAAAAGTAAGCACACAAATAAACACAAAAATACTAGAATTTTACAA